GACAACTGGTGAAAATTTCATGCCATTAGCACCTCTAGTAATATATTTAATGAGAAAAATGGTGATGTGTTCAATACTTATTTTACCCGCTGTATATGTGAGCAGGAACTGCAACATGTCTGCAGATTTTTGTACATTTTTATGTGATTAAACTTAATTAGCTTTCAGGTATGTTTAATAAAACAGAATAATCTGTTGCTGGTGGTCAATGACTGACAATAAATAGGCCACCCTAGACTTTGTAAAACACAGGAGAGGCAAAGCCAAAGCTCTTGACCTTTGAGGAAGAATAAGAGTCACTTTCTTCTTCCTCCTCCTCCTTTTCTGCATCACCTCCTCTCTGCTCCTGCAGGAATGCTTCCCTGAAAACAAACTCGGTCTCTGAATACCAATCGGACCTGGAACCAGTTCAGCTTTTCCTGTTTTGCTTTTTAACTTTACTTCTGTCTACTTCATTGTTTGTGTGTGCTGAATTTCCTCCCTTTGTGGGTGTGTTGGTACAAACGCAACATAAACAATGCACTTATGAAGGGTTACAGCTGTAGCTCTAGATGTGCTCAACAAACTGATGAAAAACAACAACCAGAACATATCTTCTTTTTACAAAAAGCACATTTTCAATAGGATAATATAAAAAAATTGACTTTTTTGGCCATTTATTCATTATATACTGAAGTTTTGACAGCACAACATTTTATTCGGATTCAGCTTCATACTGTGCATGTAGCAGAATGACAAAGCTGATTTGATTTGATTCTTCTCATTCTGGCCACTTTTGAAAAACTTGGCCATTGACCATGACTGTACTTAGTCAATTACYAAGTAGGAAAATAAAGATGCAGCATCAGCTACAACTAGCTTACTATGGCCACAATTATTTTTTTTAAGTGTGATTGCTATTTTACGTGTACAATTTCTTCTGAAAATTGTTAAATACACGTTTAAGTTAAACAATGCTCTACATTTTGTGAAATTAAAAATATAAATTGACCAAAAAATTTAAATATCTGTATTGTATATCGTTAATTAGATGCCCTGATTTCCAAAGATTGGCATTTAAAAAGTTTAATTTCTGCTTGTTTAAAAAATGTTTTAAAATAAGTGTACAAATTAAATTAATCACAGCTAGGTTAATATTTAAAAAGAGATAAGCAAGACATTGTTTTACCCTAATAACTATAAAAAATTCACATCATGACACTGTATGTGACAAGTAATTATAATACAAGAATATTTATGTAATTTGTAGGTAAAGCAGATTTCTCAGATACAAATCCAAAATAAAAATAAAAATGAGTATAGTTCCCAACAGAAAACCTGTTTGGACATTTCTGTTGTTGCTGATATATAAAAAGTCAACACTGAAATGATCAAACAGGCGTTTCCACTTTTCATAAACATGACACAGCATGTTCATAGATCAACTCAATAAAAACCATTTTGTGAAACTGTTTCCATTCAGTGCCATAATTATGAGAATAGGCTAAATCTATATAAATACACCTGTGCACGTGTGTATGAATTTTAGTTTATATTCTCAGAGGGACAGTTTAACATAGATGTAGCTCGAAGCACTCAGACTGACTGGAAAAAGAAACAAGCAGCCTTTGACATGCACTAGCAACCTCATTATTGTAATCAGCCTACAAATAACTACAAGAAATGCCGAGTCATGTTGTGTACCTACACACTACACAAAACTGCTTAAGCTGCACAGAAACGACACCTCATTTGTACCAATGTACTCACTGACGTTAATTAGATGAAGCAGCTGCAGCAGAACAGTTCTGGAGGTAAAATGGGGTAAAAAAAATCATAGTACTGTATATTCTGTACAGTCTGA